GGTCATTGACATCATCGTAGGACTGTCTGGCTTTCCATTCCTTGGGTGGAATGACCTTCGCCAAGCCAGCTCGGTGGGCACCTTGGGATTCCATGTAACCAATATATTTGTTGAAATCTTTAAATTCTTCCATGGTTGGGTGGAAGGTCATGATTCTCCCACTTGGCTCATTGGACACCATGGCTGCAATGTAAGCAGAGGATTCCCGGGTTCTCAGGGATGTTTTAGATACCTGAGAATGAGGGAGTAATGTCTTCTCTCTTGTTGTTTTTTTCGTTTGTTTTGTTTTTTTAAGCTTTGGTGTATCTGTGAGGCAGTCACTCAGATTCAGTAACCCTAACCCAATATTACATCTGAATCATAAATAATATAAAACTATAGTCAGTTCTTTAAACTTGTAATAGGAAAATAGCTCTTTTGCTCACAAGCACAAATAGCAGAAATCAAAATCCCAATTCCAAGTGAAGGTCCTGCAGGATCGAGAGAGACAGTATCTGCTTGAGAGCGGGCTTTCAAATGCAGCCCACATCCTCTTGGGCCTGGCTTTATACCGGGGCCATAGTAATCTTCTCATTGCTCATCCAATGGGATCTCGGGAGGAGGGGCCTGGTTAGTCATCTGACTTTGTCCAGGTCCCATTTTCAAAACAAAAAATAGCCCTAGGGAGTTTGGCACAGTGGAAGGGTCCTGGGTTCGATTCCAGTCATGGCACATGCCCAATTGGGGGCTTGATCCCCAGGGTGGGGTGTGCAGGAGGCAGCCAATGAATGATTCTGGCTTATTGAAGTTTCTCTCTCTCTCTCTCTCTCTCTCTCTCTCTCTCTCTCTCGCCCTCCCTCTCTGAAATCAATAAAATATATATATACTCTCCCTGTCTCTCTCTCTCTTTCTTTCTCTCCCTTCCTCTTTGAAACCAATTAAAAAAAAAAAGATATCCAAGGCCCTAAAGGAGAAATAAAAAAATGAAATGAAGACTGGATGGCGCCCAACCTGCAAGGCCGGCGGGACCCCATGCCGCTGATGCGCTCACCTCCGTGCTGGTCGTGGCTGTAGGCTGTGCCCTGCAGCTGCCTCTGGACTGCGGAGTCCACCTGGTGCTGGAGCCCGAGCCCACCTGGGTCCTGCAGCAACTGGCTCTGGGAGTGCACACCCGGGTGCTGGTCCCCGAGGCGCTCTTGGGCTCAGGAGCTGGGGCGCACCCGCCCGTTGTCAGCCTCAAACCGGGCGCTCTCCTGGGCGCACCGGGGGGTGGGGGTGGGGCGTCGCCATCCAGCAGGGATTCTTCTGCGCATTTGCCCCACAGATCGCAGTCCCAGAAGAGGCCCACCACCAGGACGAGGACGAGGCCCCGGGGTGCCTGAATCCCTGGATGGTCCCTGCAGCCAGCTGGGTCGCTGGAACGGGGTTAGGCACCCGCCCGCAGGGCCCCATCAGACAGCGATGGCCTCGAGGCCCCCACGCCTAGTCCAGAGAGATGCCCGCCTGGGCCCTGCTTCAACCTGAACTTCAACCTGTGGGAGCGCTTCCCCAGCTCCCCGCTCCAAGCTCTCCCTCCGGGGCCTGCTCCCAAGGCCCGGAAACGCCTGTCCCAGGGATGAACTGCTGTTCCGCCCCACGGGGCTGAGGACGAGGAGAAGGGATTCTGATAGCCTTGTGTGTATACTGCACATCCTACAAGAATGGATAAAGGCAGATAGTCTTGATGCAGGACGCTTTGCAGAATTTTCGATCAATGGGAGACTAAAACATTTGGAAGAAAGATCACAAAGCAGCAGAGAAATGCTGCTTCAAACACAGGCTACTTGACTTGGGGTGGTGAGCACACAATGCTATATACAGATGATGTATTATACAAAATTGGGCACTTGAAACATAGGTAATTTATTAACCAGTGACCCTAATAAATATGTTATTTAAGAAATATTTTTAAAATACAGTGTCCATCCAGCTTGCTACTTAGGTGGTTTTTTGTTTATATAGGTCACCTTTAAGCAGTTCCATTCCCCCTCGTTTTGCTTCAAACCTCGCGCCAGTACTTTTCGCTAAAAATACTTGCCTTTCTGTGGGTCCTAATCTATAATAATAAAAGCATAATACGATAATGGGACTGGATGTCCTTCCAACATCCTTCTGCCGTCCTTCTGGATGACCTTCCTGGAAGCCCAGGTTCCGGGGTCAAAGGGAAGCGGTGCCGGCAGCCAGGGAAGGAAGGCCTACTTTTGCACAAATTTCGAGCACTGGGCCTCTGGTATATAATAATTAGGAATCAAGATTTTACAATAGTAGAAGGCAAGCACTTTTTAATTGTTGTTTTATATAATAATTAGAAATCAAGATTTTGCAATCGTAGAAGGCAGGCGCTTTTTTTATTGTTGATTTTCCTTTAAAACATAAAACAGTAGAAAACAATAACATGTTATATCAGAAAGCAGAAAGATGCATCTAACTCCAGGCGCCCCCGCTTGTTTACACATGGGCTTTCTGGACCACTCCCCACAGCCAGTCTCCAGGAGTACGACTTTCTTCATTCAAATTCTGCTCCTATCCCAGAGCTGGCCTCCTCCTTCTCGCACCCCTTTGCCTATAGGCCATGTAAATTTATCTTAGATTAACTCTTTTTGTCCCCCCCATCTCCCCCCGATTTGCTGTATAGAAAGCTTGCAATACTCTGGGACAATGGGCATGTAGTCTTTTCTACCATGCTGCTGGAGGCTTGGACTCCACGCCTCAAGATGGGACTTGCTTTCGGTGAGCATTTTGGTTAATAAAACTGTACTTACAAAAAAGACTTTCAGCCGTGGAAGTGAAATTTTTTTATCAGCCTCTAGCCTCCACAATTATTTGCGGGCAACAAATCCTGGGCTTTGGTTCCCCTCCAGTCTCCCTCCCTTTTCTTTTCTTCCTTCCCTTCCCCCACCCAACACCCTCTCCTGGTAAACCAGGCTCCTTTGACCAATTAGGTCAGCAGATACTCAAAAGTCAGTTATGATCTTTCTGAGTCATTGACATGTTGAAAATGCTATCACCCATATTTGTTCACAAATATATTAAAGGTAACTGATATCTGACTTTTTTTCTAATA